AACGTGCACACACAATTCAGTGATAGTTCCTAGCTCCCCTGCTCCTCAACCCTGCTAATTTTATTTGGAGAATCATCTCCACAAAACATAGCTAGATATTGGCAAAACTATTCTTGAAAACTCAAACAAAATAGTCATGCCCACCAGCACATTTGTAAAACTTTGATCTTGAACACATATCTTTATGGAAGAACAAAATGGCGGCTTAAGGGTTTTGGGGGTTTTTTTGGGGGGGGGGGGGGGGGGTTGAACGGTTAACATGGAAAAGTGACTGCAAATTCCTGAAACTGTACGACTAGTCAGTTTAACGATTTATTTTTTTTGCTAATTAGGCCTTAGAAGTTTAACAACAAAGAAGGAAAAATAGTAGGAATATAAAAGTAAGTTCAGGCATGACTCTAATCAGAGCCAGTCGCTTCGAAACAAACCAGCAAAATACCACTAGTGTCAAAACATATCAACTGTCATAAAACCAAATATAACAAGTTTCAACGCCCCCCTCTATCATGCCATTGATTAAATCTGTGGCCAAGTGCTCCCCTGTGGCTGGAAGCCCCATCAACTGAGGGGCTCCCAGCCACACGGGTGCACTACCCACTTCCAGCTCTCTAGCAGACAAGGCTTGCAAATGACAGCAATGTTCCCAGCACCGCCCTCACTATGAGCCTCGTCAGCTGTGAGGCTCACAGCAGGGAGAACGCTGCCATCGCTGCTAAGCCTTATCAGCTGCGGGGATGGCGGGGGGCAGCATTGTTAGCTGTGGGGCAAGCTCTGCTGCCATTGTGAGCCCTACACTTCACGAGGCTTGCAGTGATGACATTTTCCCCACTGCAAGCCTTGCAACTCATGAGGCTTATGAGCATTCCCAGAGATGTCCATGAAGAAAGCCCCACAGCCCACATCAACTGTGGGGCTCAGCCATAGGAGCTGATGCAGAGGGAGCCCATGATCGTGATCCTTGGCTCCCCCTGGACTGGCGATATGGCCTGATGGAATCTAATGCACCATCCCACAATCACATCTCCTACCATGCACATGTGGCATGGCAGAAGGCATGATTACACAGATAGTGTGTTAGATCCCATTGTGCTTTCACCTGCATGTATAGAAGGGCCCAGCATTAAACACATTCTGTACATTAAAGAAAAGCACATTTCAAATAGGAACACATAATAAAAAAAGTATTTCACAGTTTCATAGTTTCTAGGGTCGGAAGGGACCTGAGCAGATCATCTAGTCCGACCCCCTGCCATGGCAGGAAGAGCACTGGGGTCAAACGACCCCAGTAAGGTGGTCATCCAACCTCCTCTTAAAAACCCCCAGGGTGGGAGCCTGCACCACCTCACTTGGAAGCTGGTTCCAGACCCTAGCCGCCCTGAC